TCATACGGAAATTTTTTTCTTTTTCAATCAACAATTTCCTTTTACTTCAGAGGTTGGGAAGTTGTTTTGCAATCTGACTTCAAGAAAAATGTAAGACCTAAAAATATGGCTCACAATCTGTTGCACAATAGCTCCAGCAGAAATACAGTGCAATAATTAGATAATTACAGTTAATAACTCATCACTGCTTTCCCACCACTTTCTTCTGCCTCTTCAGAGCAACAAAAGGAAGAAACAAGGAAAGTTTTGCACAAGACACCTTCGGGCTGTGAGCTTATTTTTCAAATCATCTCTTGTCTTGGAAGCCAGGATTACTCACATGGATGCATTTAAAGCTTTGGCTCCCTTTCCACCAGAGGCTGAACCCACCCTTTCCAGTCTCATGTGTGTAACCACAGCCTTTGTATCGAGACCTCTAGAATGCTTTGTCATTAAGTCAACACTCTCCAAACCCCTCCATACAGAGCTGTGTCACATTCCACAGTAGAAAATTCCACCCTCTACATCAGCAGGATGTTCATATCCTTATGGCTGCTCCCCACAGCACCCAAAGTGGAGAAAACTGCTCCAAAGTCCTCCTGGCTGAGGGCATTTTACTGTATAAACTCATTTTCTTTGTGCAAGTTGCTCTGTACATGCCTGGTGTAAAAGTAGAGCACATGGAGCACAGAGATCATCCAGTTCATCACTTATTTCACAGGACACAGCCCTGATATGGAACTGTTTCTTTTTTCACATTGAGATCACATCTTTCTCTTTCAGAAGAGATTAAAAACAAGGGTGAGGGGTTTTTTTCTTGTTTGTTGGTGTTATTTTGTTTGGGGATTTTTCGCCTTGTTTTTTTAAAATCATCTATTTCCAAGGCAAAATCCTCCCCATTTTTCCCAGCCATAAGCCAAGGGCAGGGGAAGAACTGCCAGTGGAAGGAAAGCTATTGTGACAGTTGTCCCAGCAAACTGGCTGTGAAGGTTCAAACATGTGCCTGCCTTTAGGCACCTCTCCAACATATCCTAGTAATTTCTCTGGGAATTAACATATTTCTTGACAACTTGACTTGGATTCTGCATATGCTTAAAGCAAGAGACAGAGTGAAAATGGCACTGCTTGGGTTGGCTCAGGGAGCCAGGTCCTGGCCTGTCCTCTGTGCAGGGCCAGTCTGGCTCACCCCACATGCCTGACTTTGAAACAATGACTTCAAAACCCAGCTTTGGTCAAGTGGAAGAAGCTGGGGAGAAGCCACCACGCCTCATAAATCCCAGGTGACAGGGTCTTTACTGTCTTAAGGGCCCGCTCCAATGTTTAGCAGTGTTGACAATTAATCAGCGTCTGAATTAATTGTCAGACAAAGTAATCAGTGTCTAAAGAGCGTGGAATGTCTGACTTCAATTTTCAGTCACAAAGTTTAGATGTTTCCATCAAAGGACCTCAGAAATCTTTTGGTACAAGCTCCCAGACTTTGGCAGGGAAAGCATTCCATGAACCAGTTTGCCTGTCCCTTTGAGAAGCTCCTTTATTAGCGTTTCTCAGTAATTACCATTTTCTGTCTCATTTTTCAGCATTCTTAGCTTGTTAACACCGGATTTCTACAGCATCCAAGAGCTTAATGCCCTGGAGAGACTGTGGTCACCTCTGCCCAGGTTGATTTGCAAAGAGGAGCAGCCTAAAGTTGAGATTGGGATCCCACTGTAAACTGTATTGCTTTCTCTAAGATAACTTAAACACCTTGATGTTTTTT